TAAGAAATTATTGTATTTAACACTAGATTTACCAGACCATTTTATTTTGACTGGTCGTGCAATTTCAATTCAAAATTTTTACCGCATGTAACATTTGATTTCCGAAATGATGTTATGACTTTTGTAGCTATAAGTAGAGAATACATTTTATGAACTTAATGTTACTTTATATATATTCGTAACAAATATATTTTTTGTATTTTTTAATAGGTATATTTAAATAGCTGGTATATCTAGTGTTAGGAGCGCAAAATTATTAGAATATTTATCAGAAATTGAAAAAACTTGGTGACAATAAAGAAGAAATTGAACAATTGAAATTGAACGTTTGAATTTGAACATTTTTATTCCATACACACGCAACTTTTGTTGCAATGTTTAATAATTTCATCTTCCGTTGATATTTTGAGCAAATAAAAAAAAAAATTACAATGTATTGTTAAGAGCGTTAAACTGCGTCGCGAGCTTTCTTAAATATTACCATAATTGTTATCTCTCAAGAATCAAGTCGGAAGCCGAACGAGGGATGCAGATTTGAATCTCGACTGTCATTTGCGTGAGAAGCGAACATCTGCTGGCAACGAACGCCGTGCGTAGTTTTCAGATAAGCATCTTTAGTGACTAACCAAACATTGCATCGTTATTTGAAGCCACAAAACACGCTGTCAGATTATTTTTGATAGCTATTAAAGGTGTGAAATGACGTAACAATAAAGCGCCTCGGCTATTTCTATGGGTTTTCCGGTCGAAAAACTCATGCGAAAGTCGTACCTTTCTAAAAATACTTTAAATACACACTTAACTAGCGTTTAAAACAACATAGAAAATAATATTCACACTCTTTTATCAATAAAAAAATCCTCAAATCATTTAATAGGAGATCAAAAAAGTTAGAGAAGTTTAATTACAATAAATACGCGGATGAGTTTTCACATTTTTCGACACATTTCATATCCTTGCTTGCGCACATTTCTTTTTTTTTTTTTGTTTACGTTCAGACGTAATTCGCGCAGACATTACTTCTTGCTCTCCATTGGTGTTTCCATATGTAATTTCTATTGTCAACGTCCACCATTTTGAATGATGCGGGCGCTGTCCTATTTTCGAGGGTTCGCCTGCCATAGGTCCAGTGTGTATCTACCCCTGAAGGGCACCCCTCACAGTGTGTGACATTTATTTAACAAGGTAACGGTGTTACGTTGTTAGATCGAATTAGGGGATCCCTCGATGTGAATTCAAGGACCTAACAACCAATAGGATTTATTATTACGGGTAACACACGTGATTCTTTTTTTTTTTTTTTCAGCAGCAACGATTTCTCACGATGGCTTCTAACGGACTTTGTTGCATCATCGCGCATTTTGTTCCTCATACAACACTTATCGTTCTTATACACGCTGTGATATTTTAGTTTTAAGAACATAAATGTTTCGTCGCACTGTTTCTATGATTATAGTCTAAGAAAAATTGTAATTATTTATATGTTCATAAAATATGTTTCCAACATAACTAGTTTCATCAAATATATCTTATTTACTTTTTAGAACATTTCTGGATATTTGTATTTCTGGATATTCTAATAAGTACTGCTTTTTCCGTGTCATATATAGAACAATTGTTATTGTCATGTATGAAATTGTTACTGTGTGAATAAAAATGTTCGTTATTTAATACATAAATTACTTATTTTATTCTATTCTTTTTCACATCTCATATATATATATATATAAATAAAAAAAAGATAAAAAAAGGCGCCAAGTTACACGCACAAAACTTATTTGACAAAAAAAGTGATGTCAAGAGAAATAGCACAAAGTAAAATTTGGAACGTTATTACATTATTGGTGGAGAGAACAATATAGAGAGTATAACATAATTGTGTTAACAAAAACAAAAAATTTGCTGGACTTACTACTTTTTTTGTCACATCTTATATATTGCGAATTCTATTTTACGGCGAAATACAATAAGAAAGAGACAAAAACATTTCCATTAGTTCGTCAATCAATCTCGGAGCAATATTTACGATTTATTTATTCTCAAAAGTTTCTACTTAATATTTCAAATATTTGATGCACAATGATTGAACATAAAGAACTTGATTGAAGATCAAAAACTCGCGAGGAAGATATTTTGCATCGAGGCCGCGCGTTGCGTCGGATCGGAATATCATTATCATTTGATTTTCGCGTTCGACAAAAATGTTCGCCGCAATCGTTAACATCACAGATCGGTGACTTTCCGTTGTTTGCCGCGACGCGTGAAATTTAAATGTCCCTGTGATCGATGGTAGCCCGATATCTGATCATTATTTTTATCGGCCCGCGGGCGTCGCGAAATTGGTATGCTGCTTATACTTCTGGGGAAAAAGAGCTGGATTTTTATTATTTTAATGAACATTTCAGTGAGCGTGTGTCGTCACGGTACGGAGAACGCGCGCTTTCCCCGGAAGAACGATATTCGCCTTCTGATTATTATTTCTATCGTGATCGTTTGAGAGAACACCGTGGAAACAGACTGCCGTTCGTTAAGAAAAGTTTGGTCTCAAAATGGTTGCGACTAACTCAGCGCGATCTCCAACCATTATGCGACGAATACGTGGTATTTCGAAGCAACGAGTGGAAACAGGAGTGAAATTTTTCTTGACAAAAAATGCAAAATTACAATTTATTTAAATGAGATTACGTAGATGTGAATTTTAACACACAAAGACAAGTATTAGATGTGTATAAGAACAAATACAACCTGTTAGCTGAATAATGTTTACGTCGTTATGATTCTCAAATTAGAAAGATTACTGTGTTCTATAATATTACAAACTTTTCTGATATATAAAACTTAGTATTAAAACTTTCTTGTTTGTTCTTGAACGAGATCGGTTGATGTCTAGAGATAAACGCTATCTATTGTACTTTTTATCAGTTATGTTTGATGTGTGTTAATTTTATTTGTACATTCTCGACACGGTAGAGTGAATCACACTTGTTTTTTTGTGTTTGTTCATCATCAACGTCAAAATCCATCCTTTGTAAAAACTCCACTGTAAAAGCACATTTGCGCGCTTTCATCTCAATATGTGCATAACATTGAGAAGAAAAAAATTTGCGGTCAAAACGCCTGAAGAAAGAGAAGTTGTGTGAAGAAAAAAATTACGCATCTAGAATTACTCTCATGGGCCTTGTTTTTTCTTTCTTTCAATCGCAGATAGAGTATAATTATTTATCATTTTTTATTTATGTAATTGTGTATTTAAAAAACTAGTTTATTAACTAATATATAGTAAAAAGAGAGAGTGAGTATCACAAGAGTAATATCATGTCAAATGATTTCTTCAGAATATGATACACACACATAGTAATTAGCTAATATAAAAATCTATTAATTAAGAAAAACATATTTAAATATAATAGATTAGTCATTGCATTATACGTACGTATATATCAACTTTTATGAGATTTTTTTATCCAATTAAAGAAATGTAATATACTTTTATCTCTTTTTTTTTTGTTTTTTAGATTTGTAAAATAAAAACTTGCAAAACGTACTTGCGATGAAACAAATCATCAAGTTACACTAAAGGTTGATATCTTTTGTTAAATATTAATTACAAAATGTACTATTACGATAAAAAATCGTCAAATTACGTTAAAAGTTGATACCTTTTGTTAAGTATTAATTATTTTAATAATGAAACTGTCGAAGAGAGAGAGAGTTACTTCCTCTATGTTAAACTGAAGAACTACACGACGCAGTTTACTTTAGCCAGTTGACAGTAATGTAGAAATAAAACTAAATTTATAGAAGTAGCAATTATTTACTAGAAAAAAATGAACTAAATCTCCTTTGCAACTTCTAGAGCTGTACATTATATTACAAATTATATATAATTACAAATAATAGTTATCAAAAATTTTAGAACGTTTTGTATAAATTTTAGAACTTGATGCACATGAAATCTCAATCAAGGTAGTGGAAATATAAATAGAGGTCAGTAAAGTCTATTTCCCGTATTTGTAACTAGATTTTACATTATTTACAAATGTATTAATAAAAATATTATTGAATAATTACAAAAGATGTGTAATAAATATAAATAATTTAAGATCTTTATTATACAAATAAAAATTTACACATACTTTAGCAGTCAAACACATTATCTACAGTCGATAGAGATGTTTTAAAATATTAGTATATTTCAGTATATAATGGAAGTATAAATAATTTGAAAGTATAAACAATAAAATTACACATTTATAACAATAATATTTATAAAATTTAAACGTACAGAGGTTACTGATGTTTTGATAACATATCAATTAAGAAAATATCAAATATCTTTATCTATATTGACATACTTGTGTGTGTATGAGCTAAAATATAATAACCTGAATATGATAACATGATACTCGAGTTCTATCTTGATATATATTTTGATAAAAATTCAATAATCCTATTAAATAAATCACTCAATTGTGTGGAGTAGATTATTAATTACATCACTGTCTACAAATATACTCAGTATTTATTGTTTTAGTAGATAAAAGTGTTTACATAAGAATCGCGAATGTTTTTATCTTTGTTTTTATACTTTTTTTAAATTACATATGTTTGCTTTGTTTTTTTTTTCTTTTATACAGATGTGTGTTGCAAAAATGTGTGTTAAATGTCAACTAAAACGACAGACTGAAAAATTTTCTTATCTTACATACACACATATTTTAGCAACTAATTGTCTTCACGAGACCGAGTTTCAAGACTATCGATCTTCGATATCCGTAAAAAAAAATATTTTTATGCCCGTTTTTATAATTTAACAACACGTGTGCATATTCCTCGATGTACACATACTTCTCGATGATAAGCACACAGTCGCCATCGCTGACTGCGGCATACCCTTATCAGCCAGCTGATTCCGCAGCTGACAACCGGGGGCGCGACCGGTCTCTCTTGCTCTATCTCGCCCCCTCTTTCATTCCTACCACCGCCTACGTTCAAGTAGAATTCAACATTGACCGTCGACGAACGAAGTTCGCGCAGTGCAAAAGGCGCGTACGTATCGCCGATATGGAAAAATGAGGTGGTCGTCGCGCTCCGTTATTTTTTCGCACAGAAAAACGTAGCCAAGTAACGTTACACTCTGCGGACGTCGCGTTCGCAGGGTGTCCGGGGGTGTAGCGTTAGCATGAGCATTTCGCAAGACAACAGCGCTGCTACCATCGTGTGCAGAGAAATCTTCGATGATACGTCTCATCCGACCAACGAAGGTACGTGAAAAGAATTGGAATATTGCAGATATCTATTTGCTATTTTCTTTTTTTTTGTCTCTTATTATTTAATAAATGTTTCCGACGTAACTTCAAGAGAATAATCTAGCTTTCTCTCGTTCGTCTAATGACGAAACGTTCATTGTCAAACTGATCGATGGTCCCTTATTCCTTTCTCTGTATGACGTTTGGTGTGGTTTCACATAATTTTTTTATTGAATGCGGAAGTTCCAGAGTTTGTTTTACACGAATGACACTAAAAAACGCGTCATGTGTATCTTTGATCAACAAATTGAATCTGAAGTGGTGCTATCGCCTTATTAACGTGGCGTACTTGGCCATTATGCGAGCCATCGCTGAAATTACGCATCGTGCGAAATTTTTATTCACATGTATAAATTAATTTAAATACATAAATATATGATAATTCGTGGATTCTTTTGTTTACTGCAATAGCGTTACAGACATAATTAGCTATTGTGGAAATATATAAAACTATCGATTTACTCCTATTTCATCACATGTTGACATTACGATTAAAATATTATATTACTCGCAGATTATCATATTCTATTATTACAATAAATGGAGAAGAGGTGAGAGCATTATATTTTAAAATGGTTTTTTGATTTAAGAAAAACTGATATAATATACGTGTGTGTACACACACACACGCACACACACACACGTGCAGTATTATGTCATGGAGATAAAAGACCTTATAGTAATCACGTGAAAAAGAAGTAAAAACAAGCTTCTTCGTCTCAAGAGTTCTGAAGAAACGTGCCATTGAAGATCAGTCTGAAAGCAGACAAAAACGCGCAAAAAACCCGTCGGCAAAAATTTCTTTGTTTATTTACATCACTCCAGGCGGGAATACCGAGCCTGTTTCCCAGCGCGCTCCAGAAAATCAATAATTCGCAGTGCGGCGAAAGTTTTGTCGGTTTACCGAATCGTCTCCGCGTCGCGTCAATAAAACAAATTCACCTGGCCTAGGTGCCAAAATTTTTCAGATCGTCCCACGAAATTCAGAATGGCGATTTTTTCGCCACAAATTCGGTTTTCGACGATCGTTACTTTCGCAAATAACGAAATCGCGATTAATCGGAGCGACGAAACGACGAACAACATTTTGACCGCAGCGTCAGAAAGCAGATGGTGGTTCGACTTGCCCCCATAGGGCGGCTTCTACCACCTGTCCAGCTGTCGGAGCTAATGGAATTTTTTATTGAGGTCTTTTGCTACTGTGGCGCTTCCACACAACCCTTCCGACTAGCAAAATTCTTGCATTGATGACCTCACGACCTCCGGGCTTTTGACCCAAAGTCGCCGCCTGTCTTTTTTACACCCCGTCGGAATTTTTTGGACCGTTCGTAATTACGCTGGGTAGTTTGGGATCGAATAGCGCTTCGGGCGTCATGTGAACTAGCGAATAATAGCAGACTGTGTCGTGAAAATAAGAGTTGAATATATGTCGTCCCGACACGAGTAGAGCTTCATGCGGAAATTAAACATCTGCTCTTTTCCTTATAATTCCTGAAAAAAACTGATTCTCTAAAAGTAATTATTTTGTGTTTTAATAATTATTTCTATCAAATTTTATTATAAAAAAATATTGATATATTAGTTTACATATATAATCACTGTTTTTATTTTTATAAAACAATATTTTTAATTTTAGAATATAAATCTTTTTTAAGATTAAAATTTGATTTGATGTAACAACATTATTAAAATTATTCTTTGCGTGTTTTTGCGACATGGGAAGTTTACCTGTCGCGCAAATCTAATTTTAGAACTTTTTACGTATGATATCATTCATTATATCACGCACGCGTAGCAAGCGCTTATTTAATTATACACGTGCAAATATTGATAATGGACAGAAAAAAAAAAAGATATTTAAATAATTGCTACGTTTTCCGTTCTGTAAAAATATAACATCGGCATTGTTTCGCGAGCAAATGTGTTAAGTGATCATAAACGTATCTTGTCGTCAGCGCATTTTCCATAGAAAGAGACTTCGCACTTTAATACTTTTAACCCGGTTAACTGTGATCAATGAGTTGTACAATTTATGCTAGCTCGATGTAAGATGCAAGCCATCCATTTTGTAGTCATTAAAGTTTACAAGGGCATTATTAATAAATGGTGCGCTGTTGCGGGATAAAAATACGAAAACAATATAAATAATAAAATTAACTTACCTTGAGAATTTTATCAAAGAGCCTTTATATCCTTTTTTTAAATCTATTGATGAAAAAAGTTGATTTAAGTATTTAGTAAAATTATTCAAGAAATAAGTAAATAAATAAAATATCATTTTTTGCAGAATTAATTGTTGCAATGCAATATATACTTTCAGAACTTCTAGATTATGCGAAACGTTTGGGAATTAATCCCGATGAGGAACCACATCTTCTCGATCTGGCCCGTGAGGGTCTTATGGCAGCCTTACCTAAGGGCTGGTCTCCGTGCTATCACGAGTCTAGTGGTTCCTACTATTATTTCCAAGCATCCACGGGCACCACCACCTGGGAACATCCCCTGGATGCAATTTACAGAGAACTCGTGGAGCAAGCAAGAGCCGGCAACAAGAGGCAAATGAGTTTTGGTACGCAAAACTTCATGTTTCATCTCATGTGACACTCATATTTTTTTAAATGTTTTTTCATGCATTACCTATACTTTTGAATATAATGTAATAATAACATATAACACGACAGTAATATAATTATGTTGCAAATTCATTTTTATAAAAAATTTTCTTGTGACACAATTTAACGATTTAATGTTTTCCGTCATCCAAGTCTGGTTTTGGTTTCACTTTTCTGATATCATCGCAATTAACGTAATGTAACGATAGTTTTTTCCACGAGCTGCTTTGGTCATGTTGATTATTCCGGTTCCCGGGAGGTTAAGTAATTTAATCTACAAGCCGGTGTTAATTACGCGTTTCTTTGTATGTACGTTCACTGCCTAACATTAGACATCGTCTTCACAATAATCACTAAATCGTGCGGCTTGGCAATACATCGCGTTTCTGGCTTTGCATCAAAATTACGAAAAGCGCGATCATATTTTTAGATTCTCTCGCAAAATATCGACCGTACGGTGGGTGCGTACGTGAATACTGCGCTAACGCTGTTAGCGAAAATTTAATATACTCTCTTTAATATACTTCTCTCAACTTATATAAATTGCTTTCAGTTACTTCTTTGACTTAGAAAAGAGAGAAAGAGAAAATGTTTAATAGTAAAAATATCTAATATTATATTTTGTAAAATATCTTACAGGAAACATGACACAAATACAATGAATAAAAAGAATTTTTTTTTTTTTTGCATACACAGAGGAAGATTCGAAAACCACAGCGAAAGATCTCGAATCGCATGAAGATGCAACATTGCCGAAGGAAACTGCTATTCCGAAAGAATCTAATATTCAAAAAGAAACTATTAAAGAACATCCCCATCCAAAACCCGGAATGACAGGCACCAAGATTCCCATGAAACTGGCACCTTTGCGAAAACTTGATAAAAACGATGGTTCGCGTAAGAGAGATCGACCTTCGTCTTTTGATAGGCTTCAGAGAAGAGACAGCGAATCGAAGTCCGACAATGTATTGTCCCTGTCGAGCGACCGTGCCGCCAGAGATTACACGAACTTGAAATTTCAAGATCCAAAATTCTACGAGTGTCCGAAATTGTTGGAAACAACGGGCACGAGCACATCAACAACCACTACAACCTCATCGACATCATCAATGAAAAAAGAGCTCGATCTTAAGGAAGTGCTCAAACGATCCGAATCACTGAGTCCGTGGCATGAGAAAGATTGGGAACAACTATCTAGCAAGTTCAGCTCCGAAGAAAACATAATTGATATCGACAAACTCAGTGTTAGCACACTCGCTAGGCCGGAGAAACTCGAAAAGTTCGACAAGGAGAAGCATCCGAGCCAGCTAGGCCAACAAAAGGAACTGACTCTCAGTGGAGGCGGCACGATGTTTCTGAAAAGTAACAGAAGTAGGGACACCACGCCGAGTCAGGACGGCGGCAGATTAGAAGACTTTCGCGTATTGGCGATTCCCGATGAAAGCAATAACACTGTCGGAGACAGACTCAAGTCTATTTTGAGAGAGAAACAGTTGGAAGATGGTAATATGTTACACTTTTAAATAAATTTTTAGTGATTTTTTACTTAAATGTTATTTTTTATACGAAGTAGCGTATTGTTATTTACTTATTTATTAATAATTAATATTTATTTATTATTGAATTATGGGAATATTGCATAATATATATTCGAATACCGACAGACGATCGGCCATTGGACGAAGAACGTAAAAGCGTGCGGTTCGACTTGGAGAAGGAGATCAACATCAAGTTCACGTATTCGGAATCGGAAGAAGATTGGGAATCCGAGTCCGAAGATAAGAATCCGCGAATATCGGCTGTAGTCAGCAATAAAATCACTGGTTCCATACTATCGCCGCGAAAACCAATTTCGGAAACTTCTTCAGACAATAACGACAATAATAAGAACGAATATTCCGACGAAAAGGATGAAGATAAAACAAGTTTAGAAATCAACAGACGGCGTTTGTCTCTGGAAAAGATCGAGTCTGTTTCGAAAAACGCAAAAATAGTCGGCAAAAGATTTCTCGTTCAAAACGTATCGGAAAACGAGCACCGTAGCCAGATGAAAAACGCGCAAAACAGTTTAGAAAGAGACAACAGTCTCGAATATTTGTCTAACAAATTGAGCGAGAAAGTGAAGAATATCGATTTGGTGTCGAAAAGCGAGACCGATTGCAGCATTACGAAGAGCAGCGATTCCGATGAGATGCGAAGAACACGATCGATTATTGAGAGAGCTCGCAACATGACAAGCCGCTTATCGAATCGACAGCCGGAAGATGATGTGTCATCCGATGTGTCGAGAATGAGTCAGAATTACGCGCATAAGGAGAGATATGTCAGACCGAAACTGGAATATTCACGAAGTATCGACGACATGAAAGTGAAGATGAATAGAGAATATGAGAAAGAAATCGAAGCTTTTAAGATCGAACTTGAGGTTAAACTTCAAGAAAGAAAGAAGGAAATTGAAGAAAACTTCGAGCAGCAGAATATTTTGCTGCAAAGATTGTCGAATCAGAAATTGGAAGAAGTGAAACAGGAACTGGCTCAAAAGGTATTCAAAAATGTATTGCAAAAGCATTAAAAAAAAAATTCTATCCATTATTCTAATTAATTAATATGTTGTACAATCAAACATATTAAAAGAATATTTTTTATTTTCTAGAACAATGTTTTGACAAAAGTGTTTTTTTTTTAGGAGGAGCAAGAGATTCAAGCGCTGATTGCCGAAATGGACCAAGCTAGAATAGAAAACTTGAAGAAAGTCCGCACGGAGTTAGAAGTCTGTTACGAAAAAGAGAGACAGGAAATACTAGCGAATCTGAAGACGGAGCTCGACGAAAGGAAGAGAGAACTTCTTGAGCTGAGAAATCAAGAAATGGGCAAGCTCGAGAATGAGCACGAGCGCAATCTCAGCGAAGAGAAGCTTTCGAAGCTGAACGAATACGAATTGAGGAAACAACATAACGAAAAGATCGAAACTCTGAAGAAGGAACTGGACAAAGAATTGGAAGATATACGAAATGAATTGAGATTGCAGCAGCGAGAAAAGATCTCCAAATTCACCGAAGATCACGAGCAGTGCTTAGCAGAGATTCTACGTGATTTCAGAATGGATGTGAGTTTGAAAGTTGTTACGAATGTTTATCCGTCTGTACACAGAAAAAAAAGTTTTCAGAACAGCAAAGAAAGAATTCGCCGATTCAATTTTTGTTAAAACCAACAAAATATTTCGTTAGTGAAATCGAAGAATTCAATAGATCTGACAATTTTTTTTTTTCTGCTATCCGTATACTAATCTTTTTACTGTCCTAGCTATGCAAATCTTTTTTTCTGTGTAAATTATAATTACATTTACAAAATTTCACTTGAATAAAAAGTTCAATACTTTTTTGTATATCCAAATCCGTTGTATACTTAGTTAAATCAAGAAAAGGGATTTTTTGTTCGATTTCAGGAAGCTCTTGCTCGTAAGATGTACAAAGAACGACTGGAAGAAATTCGCGCGGATTTTGCGCGAGACATCGAGAAAGAGACGAGAAAGCAGAGCGAGCGAACTCTCCAACAAGAGAGCATAGACTTCGAGAAGATGCGCTGTGAGAAGCGATTGTTGCAGGACAAGTATACGGCGCTCAAGGAAAAATATATGAAACTGAAGAACGACGTTCGGCTCGCCGTCGAGAGAAGAAGCAGACGAAAGGAGGGATACACCACTGCCTCGGAAACCGAGAGATCGACATCCACCAGGACAAAAACGGACAGGACTGAGTCGTCGGAGCAAAAGTAAGTTCTCCGTAGAGAGATTTAATTTTGTGAATAAAAACTAACAGTCTTTTTTTTCCATTAATTTTGTGTGTAATTGACAACGGATACGTCACGCGTGCAAATAATTAATATCTGTGATTTTTAGTACGAGCACGCCCGGCATACAGCACAAAGCATGCCTATTTCTTACAATGGAAAAAAAACAAATTGTTTCCTTCTTTAATGTAACAACCACTCGACGTTTTCAAAAGTAATTAGCGAGAGTCTATTTAATAAAAAAAAAACAAACTTGTCATTGTAGCAAATAACAAACTTTCGAGATTTCATTTAAAATAAATACAAATATCATTCGGATAGATCAATATATCTCGCTAGTTTCTTTGGATGTGTGTGTGTGTGTGAAACACCATTAATTGTGTTGCACGTTCATTTTTCGATATCATTCTCGCTGGTACCTTCGCAGTCTAATCGTTCTTAAATTTTTCATCGAGCGGCGCGTGACGCGTGTTCCCGGACTGTGAAGGTACTCCGTCATGTTCATACAATTTGCCCTAATGTCTGGCTATAGGCCTTAAATCGTGCTCGCAGTACTCCGCTGAGGAACGCGCGCTCGAGCCCGGTAACAAACGCGAAATCGCAGGAGGATCAGAGCGCGAGCGAACAAGTCGAAGAGCAAATCGATTCGGACAATTCGAGGGATCAGAGAGCGGCCGCGGGGTTTCAGAAACACGCAGCCGCAGCCGCAGCCGCTGCCGTCGCCGCCGCCGCCGCCGCCGCCGCCGCCGCCTCGAAGAACGCGGCAAAATTCGAGTCCGACGACACCACCACAGCCAGCGAGACGAACGCTAACATGATGAAGAAGAAGAAGAGTTTTACTAAGAAAGCCGCCTCGGGCGCGGGTCGCTCCGGCGGCGGCAATAACAACAATCTGGATAACCCCGTGGAAAATATTAGGAAACAGCTTAAGAAGTTGGAAGATCTCGGCGATCAGCTGCCGAGCAACGAAACGGCCTATACAGTGCGATATCCTTTCCAAGATAAAGGTGATTGTTTTAAGCAGTCTAATCTCGCGCGCGTCGTTGCTTTGTCAGATCTGATCAGATTTGACAGAAGAGAGTGTTACATAAATGTTACAAAATATCTAATATACAATGTATTATAGTCATTTTCTTTATCCGTGCACCTTTTCCCTTTCCCTTTTGAAAATGTTACTCTGATTAACTTGTACATATATGTAACTATTGAATATACAATAATTTTACGTATTGGATATTTTATTATTATTTTTTTTTTTTTTAGAAATAATGCATAGTTATTACGTATATTGTGCATTTGAACAATTTACTTGTATTTTCATTATGTTTATCGAGAGACCTATATATAAAAAAACAATTATGATTATGTTCTCTATTATTTCTCTCTTTTTGTTCCATAGGTATATATACACTTTATTTTGGTTAACGGTTTATGCCCTTCGACTTGCTCGTAAGTGCACCTTTAATTGTTTTTGCTTTTGCACGCTGTTCTCAACACAAATCAGTTTCTTTTTCATCGCTCTCATGATTTTGTTGTCAAAAAAAAAAAGCTTCAAGAGTCCGTGCGATTTTTTCGATTTTTTGGCGACGCGATCTTTCGTTTAATTCAAAAAAGCGCTTCGTCTTATTTTTAGCGCCGGCGAACGCCTCTTCGGAGTTGGAGTTCTTCCGACATCGGATTCATGTGGAGAGGGACTCTGTGAGGAGAGCTCGCGAGGCGCTGAGACAACAGAGAAGTGCCTTTCAGGGTAGGCAAAGAGCTTGGAAACAACGGAGCGCGAGGGCCACTCTGGAACAACTGGTGCAGGTATCGTTGTTGTAAAAATTTTAACAACGGAATCGATGCTTCTTTTTTTATAGCTACACATACGAACGGATAATGATTGTATGTATACGCGCAAATAGGAGGAACGTGAGCTCTCTGACATGGAGGTGAGTTTGCATCGCACCAGAAGTCTTCTGGGCGAGAAGATCATTCATCTGAGACATCTGGAACAGTCTTTGGAGCGAGTGGCGAACGACAGGCGAAACGAAAACGACGCGTCTTCCACGAAAAACGACGAATTAACGCTGAGCGACATGTCGAGCGCTAGTAGCGGTTTTAGCTCGACCGATTTGGGGACTGACACCTTCATAGGTGAGGAGATGCGAACGAGAGCTCTTCCAAAACGTTGAGCTGTTGTTCTTACATCAAATAGCAAAAAACCTGACGAGAGTTGTTTTGAAGGAAAAGAAAATAAATTTGGCTTCTCAAAGCTAATTTAAAAGATACATTACAAGAGTGGACTACGTAATTGTATATATGTATATTTAATATCATCTTATTGGAAATTTAGATAAACCAGATCATTATCAAGAGTCTACCGAAATTATGGCGAGCTTAGAAACTTTGAACTCTGAAATACAGGAAATTTGGGATGTCTTGAACAAACGCCATGATAACAACATACCTCCGACACCGGCTCTCATGTACTCTTATCTGCGATGGTTACGGTTTCATCATCTTACCACGCAGCCTAGTAGCCTGCAAGGTAACAGTAAAAAAAATTTAATCCTTCGCATACAGACTCGAAAAATGAGACGACTGGTAATACAGACCGAGTCTGTGAGACCCACGCGACTTTATAAAATCGAATATCTTTGCGAAAAATCAATATTTTTTTCAATGGTTTGTTGAATCAAAAGTTTGAACAATTCTGCGTCGATCAGAAAAAAAAAACAAATGAAAAAAATCTCTAGTAGTTTTGAAGATGTAATTGTTTAAAAAAACTAATTTTTACTAGAGACACTTGCAAATTTTTAAATTTTTGTTGATCGAGTCTAAGTGACACATGTCTGTATGCAAAGGAAAATATTAATTTATCTAATTAATACACCGCCGAATCAATGTAAAGAAGCTTATTTAAAAACTTAAAAACAGTTTATAGAAATATTAAAAACCAAACCTATAAAATAAGAATAATATTTTAAAGTATTTAAAATATATTTATTATAGGTGAAAATTATAGCGACAAACTGTGTGTTTTTACTTTCAGGTGCCTTCGGTACACCTAATATACAGTCCAATATTTTATCCCAATTAACCGCTACGCAACTTCCTCCAACTACCACGACTCAGAATATTATCGCTCAGTACGGCCCTCATAGTGGCTTTACAACCAGTGTTGGCACGGTCGAGAGAAACGCTTCAAACTTGATGGAAAGGACCAGAAATCTCAGGGATTGGCTACGCCAAGCTCGCGTCGAAACTACCGATCTGATTAATCCTGGCCAAGCGACTCTTTAAATAAGTTAAAGAGTTGAGTGAAAAATCAACACTTAGAAATATCCTCTTCTTTTTTTTCTACCTCTTTTTTTCCCTTTCCACTCACTTTCCTTCTGTAAAAATGTTTGATTTTTACTCTCGGATAGACCTGTAAGTTTTTTAATTGAGTTGAGAATTAGTTAAAGAAAAAAAAAACAATACACAGACTGTGCTGTTATTACTTAATTAGCAATACTTGAGTAACGTAATATTTTTATAGAATAGTTGTATAACATAATTTTTTCAAGTTAACTCATTTTATGTGGATTACGATTATTCGCGTTGGAAATGATATCGCAACTTATTGTTAGGATTGATCGAATCCTTTTATAAAGTGATAATCCTACCTGAGAAACATATACGTACTCGATTTGTACGGATTTCAATTTTACTCTCGCGCTTGTTGCTCCGAACATTTTTATTTTCTATCTTCGCCGAGTCGATGATCAAAACTGTCAAAAAAAAAATAATATAATGCGTGTCATTGCGTTAGGTGTAATTTTAGAAGTACAATCTAAAGTTATAACGTGACAAAAATATAACGTAGAATATGACTCTTGTTTCTTTTTATTAAGAGAAATTAAAGTGCAATTCTAGGAAGATGTTATAATTTCCTCTCTCTTTTGTCTTCCAGCGAATATATATTGATCTTTAAGTAGCTACTCTAATGATATTGTGTATTTCTCGCGCGATGACACATAATTTGGTTAAAAACGAACTTTATATTATATACGCTATACATCTAAAGCTTGTAAATTCTAATGAATACAGGGTGGGGGGCGCTTATGCGCGTGTCTGATGATGAGATTTTCACGAATAGAATCCGTTTCACCTGTAAATATAAGTGTTTCGACAGCAGGGTTGATGCCATTGGCGCGTGGTACAATTACAAATACCAATTGACCCAGTTTTTCGACAGTCTGTTGATTCTTTGTATATTTTCGAGATAAATTTTTCCAGTAGCGTGTAACATGTTGTAATATAGCTATATATCACGTGTATTATCTTTGGAACTATTATCTGCATTGTTAAAACGAAAAATGTAGTATATATATATGTATATGTACATATATATATATATATATATATATATATATATATATTGTACTCTATTTGATCGTGCGCGATATTCTAAATGAGACAAACTCTTTATTGTGACTTTTTTACAAAATATATTAAATCAAAATGCACGTATCGCAATACACATACTTTGTAGGACACTTTACACGTTTCTAATAATTTGTATCTTTTATACTTCTATAACTGAAGTTTGGATGTTTATGTTATACACGCATACTTTGAGAAGTAGTGTGAATTTATATATATATATACATATATACGTATAATAGCCTATTGGTAGAAGATTGTGAATATCGCGCGCAATCTTAAACAAGATACCTCTATAATTAATCAATTTTCGAATGCCAAAAACCCTCTCTTAAATAGAAAATAATAGACACTACACATGTAACGTTATGTAAAAAAAATACGTACTTAAATAGAGTTAAATATATTGCCAAACGTTTTGGTCGATTAAACTCCTAGCGATCGACCACTCTGATGTACTAACTACACAATCCTCTTACAATTAGACAAAAGCGCGTGATGTTATAATCGCATAACGTAAATTATGTCACAATGTCGTGATCTCATTAGATGTATGATGAAAAAAGAAATGAATGATTGAAGATTGCACACTTTGGAATATAGACACGCAATATTGTAGTCGATAAATTCATTATATTTTATATATTAGGTTTTTACGTGTTACTTTTATATTACAAATTACGAATTATTTTAGAAAATATTTTACAATATGTGCAATTCTTGATATGTAATAAGTGAGTATGATAAAGGTATAGATCGAAGCAATATATAGACAATTAAACTCTATGAAATATATATTCGGATTACAATCATGTAATGTGATGATTATCGTTTATTTTTAGTTTTTGTGTGCGTTATTGTTGTACAAATTTGATTCCATTATTTTTAATCTCACTTAAGTTAAAACGCAAGCAATAAAACACTCTAAATTCCAAAGTGTAAAAACTCATATATAGTATCACCGTCCTTATTACATTGTAAATACGTTTTATGTTAAGCACACAGCGTTACTTCGCGAATGCGGCAGTTTGCTCTTGAATTTAACAATTTTATTTTCAAACATTATGCAATTCTCGTCACATATTTCACCGTTGATTAACCGTGATAAAAGAGATTAGTATTATTTATCGCATCTTCTCTCTGCACACAATATGATAATATAAATATACAGGAAAAATTTGCGCGTGTACAAATTTATCACTTTAGTTATCTATAATTTCCACACAATGTTTTTTATGTGATTTAACACATTGTTATTTTAAGTTTGTTATGTACTATGTAAAAGAGAAAAATATATATACTAATTACATCTGAGAAAACAAAAAAAAAAAAAAAATCCAAAAAGGGTAGTTTTACGTTTTCTTCGACGAAAAAAAAAACAATTATTCCATCCGTTTCCTTCTTTCCCGAATGAGTTCTTTATCACAACGAAAATAAACGACAATCAGTGTGCTCGTCATCGCATTTGTCGCTGTTTGTTTCGAATTCGTCTTGAGATGGTAGCCACGAAGTAATTCGACGCATTTGTTCCTGCGACTTGTTGCTAAGAGAATTCTGCGCCGCCCTAATGACCGGAGATGATTTGCACAGCAGCAATCTGATGCAAGCAGAATCGGAACCGCTCATTCTCGTTATCAAGTGATTCGGTAGATTAGGATCTCTCGCTTGATCGAGTAAGTTTCGAATCTATCAAATATTAAAAAATTATGTGCTTCAGTTATACACAATTTTATTTCTATGGTTGTGTATTATTTATATTGAAATAAAAACTCATAATTAATTCCACGATATATAGAACGTTTGCAACATACTTACTTTCTCATTTTTATTTTCCAAAGTAAATTTTAGGGGATCCCAGCGCGGTTCTCGATCATTCGCGTCTTTATCGGTGATATTACTTTGCGGTGATTTTAAACCAAAAAGTGAACTTATCTGTTACAAGATGCAACAATAATGCGGTCAATTTTGTTAAGTGTAAAAAAATTTATATTGTATATATTTACCATCTGTGCGAGAAATATAACGCTGTTGATTGCGATTGCTGCGATCTTTTGCGAATCAAGTCCGAAAATTTGAAAGAATGAGGAAACGAAATTTGAGGGACCAAACGGTATCTTTGTCTCATCTTTGGCTTCATCTTCTCCTCGTTTCTGCTTCTGTTTGCCACCTAAACTTTTAGACACCAGGTCGGCGATATCCTTAGCGGTTTCCAGATAATTACTTGCGTATTGCAATCCCACTTTGATTTTATTCAAGACATCTGCGAGATTAAACAAATGTGAATTTTAATTATCTCTATTCTACGCAAATATACATATGTAACAATCTCACCTTCGGTCTTCGCGAGTTGCGCACAATTAATACTTATCCAAAAGATGCAGAAGAAGAGACACTTGATGCTCGACATTTTGCCAGATCAAACCGAGCAGCAGCACTGAGATCGCCCGCAACATCTTTGTCGCAGATTGTAACGGGTTCACGTTAATTATGCGTTCACATTTCCATTCCGTTGCGTTTCCAACATAACTCTCCGTCGTCTTCTATTCGTGATTGTCGCTCTTCTTGCTTCGCCGACCAAGCGCGAGAAAACGACGTCCGCATTTCCGCAGCACACAATTTAGTCGCGTTCTTCTGCTCGAAGTTAGTACGAAGATTGATTAAGGCGACAAAGGTGCTCGGACTTAAACGAGTTTAGTGTGTCAGAAGTTTTTACGTCTTTAACAATCACACGCGGAGTTGATTAAAAATACAGAGAATATTCAGCTATGACTCGCGGTTTTATACTATTCTGTGTGATTTGTGTTCTCATGACGATTTTCGCCGATCATCAGTCATCTTTATATCTGGATGAAATTCGCAGTTTAAGCGAATTGCCGATGGATAAATTGATCCAAATAAAATCTTCCCTAGCAAGTGGAAACGGTAAACAATCATTATTAAACAAAGATATTTTGAATCGGTTATTATTTACTCAGAAAATAATCTAACGGTTCATACGACGTACTTAGCAGATATTTACGATCAGATTGAAGACAGGAGTGTGTCCGGTAGAAGATTATCGCAGACGCTGCCGATGGCCTTGCCGTTGAGAAGAAGCAGCAAGAAGCCCACGCGGCGATACGAGGACCATTACGATGAAAAGGGAAAAGATTCAAAGATTTCGAAGATATTCCAGTTGGCGATAACCGCGCTCTCATTTCTCGCGTTCGGTGGCTACCTCCTTACGCTTATAATAATGGCGATTCGTCGAAATTCCATGAACAATACAAACGGGAATGTCGTCATATTTTCGGTACTCGATTCCGACGAGATTTGAATGATCCATTTTCGCGCGACATGCAAGATAGATTATACGTAAAAAAAATTCACGATATCAATTATTTTATTTCCAGAACCTGCAAAATCTGCAGAAACTCAAACGTCCCAAACGAAACATTGTAATTTTCGACCCGATGGAGAATAACTTCGAGACCGACAAACTCTACGAAGGAATGGTTATGCTTTCGAGAAGTTACGCTTTATACAATTAATTTATCACGTTATATATATGTGTGTGTGTGTGCGCAATTTAATAATCTATTATTTATTTTCAATTGTATTAAAATATACTCAATTTATGAAACTTAATTTATAAACATATTAAAAACATAAATATATTATAGCTGTACACATATTATATTTTCGAGTTTGTTTTAATTAAATTAATTACTCTTTATATACGCACATCTAATATATATAAAATATATATAAAATATTGCGATATAAGCTTTCACGTTGGATGTAACGTGCGCAAATTTTGACAAAGCACATTCCCATCGGAAGATTCGATAAAAAAATCACGATCGATTAAGCGAATGCGAAGAGCTTGCGCTTAACGCGCGAAGTCTGATTCCTGAAAATCCTAAAACCTAATAAAATCGAATAGAGGACCACGATGTGTACATATCTCGGAGAATATTCTTGGCATGTGGGTAGAGAGGTAGTTTCAAACATGGCTCTTCAAATAAACATCCAAGTGACTGCGTATTCTCCGCAGGCCTACACGCAAAGATAACCATGTGGCTCTTCCAGAGATATCGACTGCGCGTATACACGTATATATACCATTGTTCTATCGATATAAGCGAATTTTGGCAACACGCAAAGCACTTTGAGATCCAAGTCGTTTCTAATTGATTCGGAAGAACTATTATTGCGAGAACTATTATTGCGAGAACTATTATTACGACAGAATATAGGAAATTTATTTTTTTCTTGATATCTCAGATTATTCTGAATACCTCCAGTTTAGTTAGAATGTAACGAGTCAGAAAAACAAAAAGAGTATTGCGGGATCACGTCAAAGTTAAATTAAATGTAATTAACATTACTTCTTGCTTTCATGATAATTTTGTTTTTTATCGTTTCAAAGCAAGAAGCGTTACTTTGACACTTACGTCCGCAGCATCCGAAGCAGCATCATCTCGGCCAGGCCGAATCTTCTCGTGATCCCGCCCACCAGTATTTTCGTGGTCCAATCCAGTTAATCCTGCTAAGTCACAACTGGTGGAGCTGATGATTATTTTTTTCAACCAGAAATCTCCTTTCAACATGGCAAAGTCTCGTACTCTCATTCAGTTTTATGCCGTTCTGCGATGCTGTCGTGAATATTTTTTAACGAAACATAAATCCTCATTAAAAACAAAACAATTTTGACAGTTTTAATAATTTCTGTGTTTTCCGTCAAAATTACATTTGATGAAAATTCATTGTAATTTGTAGTAATAACGTGAGAAATGTAAGTGAAAGAAATTGCAGTAAACAATGAAGACATTAATCTGTTAAACGAACATTATTAAATTGTTATTTTAATAATGATATGTAAAATAACGTATAAAAAATAAAAATAACAAAAAACAAATAGCTCTCGAATTTTATGAATGAAACTCAACGCGAAATTAAAGATATAAGATGAACGGCTTCAACGCTACTCACGTCACGGATAACGCTAATTGTTCCAAACAATTGAAATTTGGCGTGGACCGTATACTGTCCAACGAAATTTGTGCAAAGAGGACAGGTAAGAGACTTAACTCTTGGTGTGTGTAATGTCTCTAAAATTAGAAGGTATAAAGTTTATATAACTGTAATATAAAAAATCTTAATTTTACTTTTATAAATAAAGTATCGAATTTGAGCGCAATATTATATTATCAAAGAGCAGAAGTTAATTTTATTTAAGTAACTGTAATTTTTTACACAACTGTATATGTGTAACTGTATACGCAATTCTTCGATAATTTTAAGATTTTCTCAAACCAGTTTCGATACTTTCTTCAATTCGTTGTCCCTGCGTTGAAAGTTGCGAGCGATGCGAAAGTGTTAGAGCTTGCATCTCGTTTTCTCATCCATCGTTACCTGAAGCTATTACATCTGTATCTTATACTGGAATCATGGAGGGAACATTAGGAACTGTATATCGGCCAGCACCGCTACGTCTTGTGCCAAGAAGTAAGTTATATATTTTAATTACACATAAACATTACAATAGAGTATTATGTAACTTTTATATAATTATTATATGACTTTTATATATAAAATAATAAATCATATGTATATTTTTTTGACTACAACACATTGGAAGAAATTTTGAAATTTTTAAAAATAATTTTATATTTACAAATATTTTAAGAATATTTACATTACTATTAACACTTTATCGATCGGATCCTTTTGCTATAAACAATGACTTATGGGAAAAAAATTAACATTAGTTTTAGTTAGAACGCCAGCTGGCGTGTTTGATCGATAAAGTGTTAAATATCTTTACTTAGAAACTATATTAATTTTCACAATATTTCTTAAAAATGTAATTTTTAATCTTACGTTATATGTAGAAAGATAAAATATACAAAAAAAAAATTATAAATTAGATAGAAACATCATAGAAAATAAACGTTTCTCTTAGCGTGTGCGATTGATGTCGGTTTCTACAAATCTCAGAAGAAAAAGAAGCTCTTGTTAATTAGATAATTATATTTAAAAAATTTTTTAAATCTAATTTTCTTCTTTGTTTCACGTTTACGTTAATCTCACTTCAAAAGTAATTAAAAGTTAAATGTGTGTGAGCACAATTAAACTCTTCAAAAAGTGTAAGATTATTTTAAGAAGATTTGACGTGAGGTCGCAGGTTACGTCATTGACAAATGTTGCCATATGGACATACTGTCTTGTCCCTTGTGATACGAGAAGCACGTAGAGCAAAATATTTACGTGTCGGTGTATTCTCGTGTTTCCTGTCTGTGTTTAAACGACATCTTAAGTGCCACCGAGCGTTTACGAGAGGTATAAACAGCGGTTTCGATATACATTTTCTCGGTTAGTTAGAATCTGGCAGAGTCCGCGTTTTTCTCGTTGCTATTTTTTCTACAATTAATGACGCTACAAACATATGCGTTTAACGAGATCTGTTCTAAATCAACGGGTTTGCGTTTTGTCGTTTGCAATTAATAAAAAAAAAACACGTGTTTCATATCACGTAACAACTTTTTGTTTTCTTGTGTTGCACAGAGATATATTTTTCATGCAATGTTAAAGTGTTTTTCTTTGAAAAGAAATGTCAAATTAATTATTTGCACGAGAGAAGTAATTACATGTTGCGAAATCTTCGACTTAGACACGTGTGTCTGAAGATCAACATAAACGCCCCGAAATAACTGTGATGTTAGAGGTATCTGTTCGAATTTGTTCGGAGATTTAGCTTTTGGGTGAGAGTACCACACTGTTTAAATACCTACAGATGTTGTATACTTTCGTACGGTTGTAAATCAATTCAAAGTACCCCATCTTAGAGGCTTCTTCGTACTGAGATTTGTAGAAACTGACACCAATCAAGCTAAGAGGAACGTTTATTTTCCATGATGTTCCTATCTAATTCGTAATTCTTCCTCTTTCGTATATTTTATCCGCACATGTAATATTTGTAAGATTAAAAATTACACTTTTTAAAAATAAATATTGTGAATTATAATATATTTTTTAAGTAAAAGTATTTAATTGTAATAAAATATATTAGTAAAATATAAAATTGTTGAAAAAAATTTCAAAAATTGTTTTCAATGTGTTGTAGTAAAAAAATATACATATAAGTTTATTATTTTATGCACAATAAAATATATAATATTCTTATATCCACTTATTTCAGCATCTATCTCATCTCCTTCGACGATAAGCACATCGGAAACGAATACACGAAGAAAAAGATCGTGGTCCAGAGCCGTGTTTAGTTCACTACAAAGGAAAGGTTTAGAAAGAAGATTCTCTTTGCAAAAATACATTACAAAACCGGACAGACGACAATTGGCAGCGACTTTAGGTCTCACAGATGCACAGGTTACAACTTTATAAATTAAAACTATATAGTCATTCGATACATAATTCATTATTTATTGTAAAAAGGTGCTTGATTAAATAGACTTATTCTAAGTTTGTTTTACATATTTATTTTTATATCATTTAGGTCAAGGTTTGGTTTCAAAATCGTCGAATGAAATGGCGACATACTCGAGAAAGTGAAAATACGATGTTAGCAGGTCCAGACTCTACACAGAAGGACTTTCCGCAGAAATTAATTAAATCGACTGCGAATATTACTCTAGAAAATGACGAAGAGGATGTAGAAATTGACATAGATTTATGAAAGTCTTATTAAATTCAAGTTTTTTAATAACATAAGTGAGAGAGAGAGAAAGAATGTTTTTGTTAGAAAAATTACACACATTAATTGTTATAAAAAAATAACTTACAATATAAATGTAAGACAGAAAGAGAGAAAGAATTGTTATATATTAATATTAATGAAGTATTATAAATGTGCGTATTTATATTTTAATATATTTTATCCATTATTATTATAAGTATATAAAAATACAGCAAGTGTGTATTAACGGTGTGAATTGTGCGTCGAAAGGGATCTTCGATCTTTTTTTTTATGTGTGCTTCCATGGCAACGATTTTATTATTTCTTTTCTCGTCATTACGAGAGTAACTCAAGCGTCATTACGTAATGATATTACGCTCAACGATATTAATATTTCTAAAGTGCATATTTTAATAACAGGTATGCAAAAAGTCGAGAATTTTTAAGTATATATTACATGTACAGTTTCCAAATTTTACTTGTGCTTGTACAAACTATGTTATCATTTACTTGACAGAATTTCCCACTTAGAAAATAGGTTTACGTTGTGTGTGTGTGCGTGTTCATTTTAACATTATATAATACAAGACTGTTATATAACTCCAAAATAAAATAATGCATTGCTTGGTGCGACCCATTTTTGTTGCTCGAAATCCTTCGTTGCAAGTATATCAGAATTGTTTTCATCGTTCGTCAACGAAACCGAAAGACGCATTAGCAGCTACGAAAGAAAGATTACTCACCAATAACGTAATAAGTAAGAAATAAATCGGACTAATAAAAACAAAAAAAAAAAAACAAATAGAAAAGAAACTATGAATTATATAAATTAAATTAATTTGTGCAAAGAAATTCTTTGCACAGTGATTAAAATATTGCTATTAAATAATTATTGTAATCTTACTTTGTTATTGTAATCTTATTGTAATCTTACTTTGTTAGCTGCCTCTGTAGCGCAATCAATTCCGGCAGTGAATACAACTGTGACATCCTCGAAAGTAATTCCACTTGTAGAAACAGCGTCATCTGAAGTAGCGACAGATGACATTGAAATTTCCGCGTCCAAAGTTGTGTCACAGACCTATGAAGATAAAACATCTTTACCGTTTGAGGAGATTCCTGGCCCGGCAATATTGAAGCTATGGGAAAAATACTGGAGATACGTGCCACTTCTGGGTACGCAACTGTTTTCCAGTCTGCTAATCAGCAGATTTACTCAGGGTACGACCCCTTGAAGTTCAACTGCTTGAAATCCGAAGAGCTAATTTGCATTTTTCAAGTTTAAAAAAATCTGTATGAAAACAATTTCATGATTATATAAAATGCACACACATAAATCGCAGCTCTTCAAATTTTGAGCAAATTGTCCCTTGTAAGCTTTATAATGAGCTTTAGAAAAAAAAAAAAAAAAAAACTATTGATATTAATATATCTTTTAGTTTTATATTTATAAAACAGAATTTTACAGTTTGATTAATCATCTGGGACACCCTGTTTATATTCTCAAAACAGTAACTAACAATTAAAGAAATGCAATCATTAAGTAAGATTAATTTAAATTATCGCATTGCAGGACGATTATCATGGAATCGCAATGTTACGCCGATTAAATATTTGTTCGACGAATATGGATGTCTTGTGCGAATCAATGGGCCGCTTGTGAATGACATAGTTATGATTCACAGGTGAGATATTACAAATGTTTCGTGTTTCTTACGACGTTAATTCGTTAATTGATCGTTCTAGGCCTGAACATATAGCGGAAGTTTTTAAGCAGGAGAGCAAGTCTCCCGTTCGTAGTGGTATTGACGTTCTTCAACACTACCGTCTTAATTACCGCAAATACCGCTCTGCTGGAGCATTTTCTCTGTAAGTATATACCGCAATTGTAATATTAGAGATAGCATTGAAAAATATGAACAAATTATCAGGCAAAGTTTGGAGTGGTTGGAAATAAAGGAAAAAGTTGATCAGCCGTTGCACGATACCATTTCAAGTTACGTCGGAAAACTGGATTCAGTGTGCGGCGAACTTGTTAGAAAAATTCGTACTATACGTAACCGACAGGATGAGGTTTGTTACATTTTACGAATGTAATATTTACAAGTATATACACCAATAAAATCTATAATAATCTTTTAAACCAATTGTTCATTAGGTGCCACAGAATTTTCACCAAGTACTCACTGCATGGGGTATGGAATGCTTCTACATGACCATGTTCGACAAGCATCTTGGTTTTCTAGATTTTAATTCGAAATCAACATCCGAAACCACAAAGATTATTGATGCGTTAATAACCGCGCACACATACATGAATCGTTGCGAAACCGGATTTCAGGTGTGGCGATTCTTCAAAACTCCATTTGTCAAAAAACTATTTGCAGCTTGCGATGTTCTTGATGAGTAAGTTAATAAAAGAGTTAAATATCATTTTTCAATACAACTTACGTGTTCTTTTTTTTTAATTAAATATGTTTCAAGTTCAAATATTACACAGTTTGCTAATATTGCTTGCACTCGCACATTTGTTTTTAATTGTTTCAGAATTATTGGAAAACATATTCACCAAATGCACAACAAACTTCAAACGTTGTCGTTGTCGAAACAAGAAAAATCCACAAAAGAACCGAAATCTTCGTCGTTGCTCGAAAAGATGATGCTCCAACGTATTCATTCGGATGACATTTCTACTCTGTTGATGGACATGATGATTCTGGGCGTTCAGGCTGTAATATAATATACATACACATGCAATATAATTGAATTAACAAGAACAATATTAATTTAGTTGCATAAAACTACATTTAAAAAATATGTTTTATTTTTCTATAGGTCGTCAATTGCGAAGCATTCCTACTTTATTTCTTAGCAAAAAATCCTAGAGTACAAAAATTACTATATAATGAAGTAACTTCTGTTTCGTCTAAAACCGGATCTACTTTAACGAAGGAAAGTTTAGACAAAATGCCATATTTAAAAGCATGTATAAAAGAAAGCCTTAGGTAATAAAATTTAAAAAAAATATAAGTAATAATAGAATGTGTAGTTTACGTCTTTTTTACAAAATTTTAATAAAATTATATTTAATAATTAAAATATTTATACGAGAATTAACGCACAAAAAATTAAAAAGAATTTTATACAATACTTTTTATAACAGATTACGACCTGCATTTCCTTATTTAACGAGATTGTTACAATCAACAATTTCACTACATGGATATACAATACCAAAGGGAGTGAGTACTTTTTAGTAAAAAAATTGTTAATCAAAAGTTAGATTTGTAACGTAATAAATACCTTCTATTGTCTCAGACTTTCGTCATAATGGCGAATCAAATAACATCACAACGCGAGGAACATTTTGAAGATCCTGAAAAATATCGTCCAGAAAGATGGTTAAATCAGGACAAGGACGAGTATAATCGTTATCAGAAATATTCGTGTCTACCCTTTGGACACGGCGTACGATCCTGTCTGGGAAAAGATATGGCTGAAACACAAATGATGTTGCTTACCGCAAAAGTAAATAAATTTTGCACACAGTAAAAGATAAATGAAGAAACAAAAACAACACTTTTATTTTTTTCCAGCTGATCCGAGAATTTACTATCGAATACGATTACGCTGATATTCGAAGTCGATTTGTTATGATAAATGTGCCAAATAGACCGTTACGTTTTCGATTTGTGGATAAAAATTAAAAGATTATTTCCCGAAATCATTAAAACATAACAAGTACGTAATTTTATTTGAGATTAAGATATATCACGCAAATAAGTTTTTAATCTTATTAAGATTAAAGTGTTATATACAGGGTGATTCAAAAAACAACCTCTTATCCTTAAAAATACATATTCATGACTAAATTCTAAAACAAGATTTTTATTTGACAAAATTTTGTCTGAAGCTTACTTTTTGAGTCATTAATAAAAATAGGTGACCTGCCACGAGTCGGATACAAGAGATAGACAGGGAACGCAACTCACCGTCAGACACGAGCGATTACGTGTGGTGTCTAACGCGATCAGCTGATCGCTACTGTTTCTGCATATTTTTATTAATAACTCAAAAAGTAACTTCAAACAACATTTTGTCAAATAAAAAAGTGTTCTAGAATTTGGTCAAGAATATGTATTTTCAAAGATAAAGGGTTGTTGTGAATTATCCTGTATGTAAGTGTTTATTTACTTGTATAAAAGTCTGTATAAACACAGTAAAAAAGTCGGATATATCATAATTATATATATATATATATATATTTCGTCTCTTTAACAATACTTTCGTATTATNTTATTTGCAAAATAAACTTTAAGAGTTATAAATTATGAATACGATAGTTTACTTTTCTCTCTCGCTATAACAGATAGTTCACAAAATATAGCTTGTGTGGAGCTTTTACGTTTGAGTGTGTACGTCTTCGTTTTTATTCTTCGCCCATTATAATACGTATAAATGCCATGTATGAAAAAACAGTAGAAACATACTGAAAAGTTCAGAACTTTAGAAGAATTACAACTTAAAAATTTGTTCTTACATCTAATAAAAAAATATTAAATAAACCACATATGTAAATATTAGATATTGAGAAAAAATACAATAATTATTAAACGAATAGAATCTCACCGACGAGTAATAATTCATGGACAAGCTCGGTAAAAAGCCTGGAATTGATATATTAACCGGACACTGACTTCTCAATATAACTTGTATCAAAATCTTTTGCGTGGTCATGTCTTTGTCGTACCATAACGAATCGTAGGCGGCGGATGCTATGTCGCTACTCTGAAAGCATAGTCAATCAAAATATTGTCGATATACATTGTCGCGCACTTTGTTATTTTTCTCTGAGCCATTAACCTTGTTCATCACATTATCAGCTGGCCAGGCGTACATATAAAGTTCGACGAAGCCANAGAAAGCTATCAGAATAAATGAGCATTTCACTGACAAAGGTTGACGCTGTCATTGCACGTACAAAAATCAGAAAACAATTAAAANATCGCAAACAAAGTAATCGCCATCTCAAAATATTGTACTCACACTCATGAAAGTGAGATATCCGAAAATTACAGCTCCGGTACTGAAAGTCACGCATAAAAGTGCTATGTAAGCAATTGCGCGATTCACTTCTTTTGCGTAGCTAAAAATATAATAAATAAGTTTTAAAATTAATTGCTTGTCTTCCGCGTTACCGTTTTATTTCGTTCATTTATGTTGCGCACTTGAGCAATACGTAATGTTCGTGCGTGCATTTTATCAGCTCCTGTATATTCGTTATCGAACGAAATCGATTGGACAAGATATCGAATCTGATGGCTACGAACCAAAGTAAGAGAGCGGGTAAGGTATTAGCCGCTACTTGCGTCATACTTTGATAAATAGCCAACAGATGATGTGCGTAGATTATAGCTTTTAGCGGTTGATGTTGCACGTCAAACGGATATTCTGCGTCACAAGGAAACGGTTGCGGCAGGAACACCGGTCCGAGTCCCATACTAATAGCTGTCGTTGCTAGCAGATACAGAATGAAACCTGTAATTTAATTAAGAGCAAATTCAATATCATGTCCCATTATTGTATAAAGAACTTTATGTAAAAAACATTAAAAATATAGAAAAAAGTAAATTAATTAATTAAGGAAAAGTAGGAAATTAATTAATTAAAAAATCTTTAGCAATTTTGAAGATTGAAAAAAAACTAATTGTATCTAAATACGCCAATTTAAACTTATCTTGGGTCTGAGAGACCCATGTCACTCTACAAAGAGTTAATGGTGTAAATGTAAATAAGCCAAAAATTCGATATCATACTGTACATCACTTTGCACTTGTTGACATAATGTTGAATAATGTCTCTCTCATACTCTTGCGCTTGCTGATAAAAATCTTCCATTTCCAAAACAACAAACTATATTAAAATGTATATTTAATAAATGTCGAATTGTTTCATCGAAAAGCTTATTTCTGTTAAAAAAATACTTTTACTATGTAGATAAAACTGTCACCTGAAAACGTTTGTACTCCTTTGCAAACAGTAATAACTGCAGCACGATTTGTACATTGACGCTTAATTGACACCCCAATTTCATCACCAAAAGCGCGTCATTTATATTGTTGATAAGTGTCCATGTCAATGCAATGCTGAGTATTACCGCGTTTGCNACGCAGAAACACTGTAAAACATTGCGTTGAAGTTTTTGAAACTTCGTTGCGTCTCGACGAAGCGGCCAGCAACAAGCGACTGTCAAGAAAACCTTCAGAAAGGTAATTATTTTACCGAACGTTATCTTATTCTCCATCACACGCGGAAATACTTGGAAAACTCGTAGAAATTCAAGCTAGCATAATATGTACTTCAAATCACCCTCGCAATATCGTAGAGGTATAATTTCTATAGAAGTTGCGTGACGCTGTGAAGTGTAAATACAGTACATACAATAGNGAAGTTATATCACCCTTGGTGGTGAGAGAAATGTCAGTATTCGAAAGATTTTAATGCGCATATGGTGTAATTAAAAGGCAGTAGGGTTTACGGGGTTGGTATCAGCTGTGAGTGTCTCACGAGTGTGACGAGTTAAGAAATAATTGAATGCGTTTGAAAAATTAAGTAGATATCTCGGTAAAGCATTGCCGGACTTTAGGAGAGTTTCACAAATTTACGTTTATCACGAATCCGTTTCTTGTTTCATAAGTTAGACTTTATTATTTTCTATTTTCTATTCTTCTGACTACAAACTTCGTAATTGCTTTCTAATTGCTTTGTAATTTCTTCCGTATCACAGAAATGAGCAAACGCTGTTTAATAAATCATGCGTAAATGGAGAGTGTTCGACCGATTGTGCGTTTACAAACGTTTTCGATAGATGTGTATATGCAATTGTCTAGCTAGACTTAATTTTAACCAATTTTAAGTAATTTTTAGCCAAGACTGAACTACAAACTTCTAATTGCTTTCTAATTGCTTTCTAATTGTTTCCATACCACAGAAGTGAGCGAAAGCAGTTTAATTAATCATGCGTAAATGGAGATTGGTGCGTTACGAAGCTGCAATATGCACTTGCAAGTCATTACATTGTCTAGCTAGACTTAATTAGTACAGTGAAGTATAAGTAACAGCAACCTGGGGGGTTGCACCCTCGCGCGTAATTCGATTACAAGATATTGCTAGCTGTAGAAAGTGAAATATGAACAAAATATCATTACTTCACGGCATGAGACGCAGATATGCGTTTTCTGGCCTCATCAGTCTATCATCAGATAGCTGGTATAGTTGACAAAGCAAAAGAAGTTTGCACTTTAGTAATGACACAATGTGTGTAATAAACAAAAAAATTACGTTTTTATTCAGAGAAATATGCTTTTTTTGAAAGTTATTATTACATAATTATTATACAGATCATTTTGTAAACGTCAGTAACTGTATATCTTTTTGAGGTGCTACTGTAATTACTAATCTATTATCAACGTTGAATCAATTGCCATCATTTTTCGTAAGTACAACTCGACAGGTGGCTAGATAGGAGAAAGCTGTTGAGACATACTAAAAAATATATTAAGACGTTACGTAAAAATTACTTTTGATTTTTTTACTTTTAATTAAATAATTACGTAAAGTTTTTTGTACATATTAATAACGTCATAAATATAAATATATTTTTCATAAAGAAGTAGGATTATATGTGTGCGTAAATCATAATCGTATTATTTTTATACCTTACTATAGTTAAAACTTTCTTTTAATTAAATAGATGTTATTTGTATTTCCAGAATAAGAATAGTGATAATAATTTAAACACCCTGATAAAAATATTTGTGCATTGTAAAAAAAATATATTATATCTTATAGATATAAAGTTTATCACATAAAATACTATAAATTATTTTTAATAAGTTTAAGAAAATTAAACAGAAAACTATTTTGTAATTAAGTCACATTAACTCACGGAGGCATAATAATTTAATGATACAGTCGGTAATATGCAAGGCATATATATGATATGATATATATGATACGGCCATCGGGTTTAGGCCACGTAATAAAAGCTGTACAAAATTTTTCTGGAAATCAACTTTTTCATTATACCACGCAGAGTCATACGCAGCGTCTGCAATACCAGTGCTCTAGAATGTTATATTATTTTTGCCAAATGTATCAAGCATTACTGTTGCTATTTACATTTATGATTTTAACTTACTGCACTTAGCAGATGATCGGCTGGCCACGCGATCAGAAACACTTTTGTAAGAGATCCAACAACAAAAATTAAAAATGTTGACTTTACCGCTTTTGAGTACGGCTATCGAAAAAAGAAGATTGAAATGAACAATTTATAGGTAACTTTTCTGTACATAGTCACGCTGCGGCAAACAAGATATGTAAATAAATATTTTCTCAAGTACGATATGTACACAAACTATTTTTACAGAATGGTGCACATTTGATCAAATAAAAAAACATAAAAACTTAATATAAACCTAATAAAATTTCTTATTTACTGGAAGAATGAAAACATTTTAGAAATTGCTACTAAAAATTGTTTTGATTACAAAGTTTCAAAATAAATTTAATAGGCACACTTACGCCAAGAAAAGTGACGCCAGCAAAAACGACAGCTATTGAACTGAGAATTATCGCTGTCAATATTATGTATCGAATAGAGAGAACAACTTCCCTTCCAAAACTGTGCGTGCGTGTAAATGCAAGAACTATATATATTATTTATTTCTTGTAATAATATATCTATTTTTTTTTCATTTAAGAAAGTCAAATAAAAGAAAAAAAACGTATGTATACATGTTAGTTTTAATGACAAAATCAGATTTACGTAGCAACAAATTGAGTAAAAAACTTCTACATGTGTTAAAACGTATTTACAACACAAGTTCTTGATGTTCCTTTATACATGCGCGCAGGTCTTGAAATTTCGTAATTGCTCGAAATTTATCGGATAAGATATCACATCTCGCTGCCACGAACCACAAGAGAAGCGCGATGAAAACGTTGGAACACACTTGCATGTAACTTTGATACAAGAGTAGCGTGTGATGCAGATACATGACAATCTTAAAGAACAGAGAGTCCACAGTAAATGGATAGCTTATGTCGATTGGAAATGGATGTGGTTCTACAATCGGCTTGATGATGAGCAGCGCAAAAACGAAGGTAAATGAGCATATTGCGCACACATAAATCAATTTGCATTTCTGAATATATCGATGAAAAACTTTATTCTCTTCTGATTTNGCTCGTTCGCAATAATTCTCCAATTCGTAAGCCACGTACTGCAATCAAATTACACAAATGCAAGTGATGTAACTTATNTGTTGTTTNTTGTTTTGCAGTTGTAGTTTCAACNGTGNTCAATGCGATACGATGCGAATTGGCTTCTCTTACTTGAAGGCGATCGTATTGCACCGAGTAGATGATTATTTGCACCGGGATTGCGGTAGTGGTGCACAACTCGCAGCACAGTTTCATTACGAACAGTAAATTCGATCGTTTNACATAAATCGTGTATATTATCGCGATCATCATGACTGTTCCGTGTAGAATGGAAAAGCAACGAAATATCACGTGGCGTATCTTTTCGCATCTCGTAGCAACTGGCGGTAATGGCCAACAACAAGCGAATACCAAGTCCGTTTTTAGAAACGCGAGAATTTTCTGCATCGACAAAGTGTTCTCCATAAGTGCCACGTAAACTGTTGGTTTCGATCAGGGTTCCGAGAACGAAACACAACAGTTATATATTACATCTATGTTCGCGTATTGTATACACAAAATGACTGCGTCAAAAGAGAATGCTTTGTCAATCGCACTAAGGGAATATTTAATTGTCGTAAGCGCGGTTTCTTTGCGCTTTTTCATTTTTTGCTTTGAGTAGGTTTGCTTCATATAAGAAATTGTACGCGGGTAAGTTCACAAATTATTCAACTAGCGAACGACATAATGAGAAGTTGATGTGTACTAGCATATAATTATCTTCCTATTTTTTATTCGCAGAAAGAATTGTGAGTTTTGCCATTATAGATAGAGGTAGAGTAACAAAGGAAAAAAAAGCGGGAATATAGAGTTAAAGATGTATTGCGAATGTTGGTACACGACTATCACACCGTCGTTCTTTTATATTTTTGAAACGCAAATCATATTTAGTATTATATCTCATGTTTCGGAAAAAATTATTTGAAATATCGTTAGTTGTATTGTGTAATGTGTGCAAGTATATATAAAATCAGTTATCGTGAAAAAAAAAAAAAATGTAAATGCAAACATCTGTAGATACGTAAATATAAAAAATATATAGTTGTATTTAGTTTGTTTAATAATATACATCTAAGTTACAAATCTGTTTTCTACATTTTAGAGAAACTTTACTTCGACCAATATCTTGCAATTAGTGCACAGACGTTTGTATAAAAACTATATGGAACGCCAACTCATCACCGTCTCGAAATAATTATCATCGTGAGTCCGTATTTTAAGATATTATCGCGCGAAGATGACCGCGAGATGTAATTCAGACGCAGAAATGCGTTGTCGCACGCAAAGGCCTTAGATAAAATGCAATAAACGCGCGGTCTTTATTCGACGCGAGTAAGACAAAGAACGTGACACACTGTCGCGGTCCGACGGTCACAGATTTTCGGCAATATTCACAATTTCTTCAGATGATGTTCGGAAAAATACAAAGACATGATATTCAATTTTTCAATAAATCACACGCGCTAAAAAACTATGACGAACGGACGAGAGAGGTGCAAGCAATAAAAAAAAAAAAATAAAAACAACACATACACAAGTGACGAGCAAAGATAAGCTCGCGACCGCGACTGATCGGGACAAGAACAGCGACAAATAAAGACAATTATATTCTTATCATTGACCAACGCAAACCGCGATACACTACATTTCCGGCAACATATCGCGCGATATCGAACTCGCGGGGTAGCTCGTCGAGATTCGATTTACGAACAATATAAGTCGCGAGAGGTGCGGAAGAGAACCAACCACACTTACGTTTGCCGGCGACTCTCCACAAATCGGTAACCATTCTGCTCTTCCTTTTGAGATCGTCTTAGCAAGTCCTTTTCGGAGGTGGTTGTCCAGCACACAGTCTTACACCTCGGCATTACGATATACGTGAAAGACGATGAACTTGCGTGGTTCACGGTACGCGCAACAATGAAGTTTCGTATCCTTCGGCAATTGCTCTCTCCAGTGCTGTTCTTCCTGCTACGTAACCGAGCCAATCGAATTTTTTCTTTGGTGGCGCTGCGATTGACAGCGGCCACGTGTTCC